AAAAACTGAATGCAATGTAAAAAAATTTCTCGTTTTATTCGGATTGAAGCTGTTTTCAATCAAAAATAAACAAACGGTCTACCAACAACCAATTCAGTTCTCCTACTACAGTTTAATTTGGCATTTCTCAGTAGTAATTTTATATTAAAATTACTGATTTGTCAGATCCCTCCACAGTTTATTGGAAAAAAAAAAAACCTTTGACAACAAAAAATACAAATCTGCAGATCAACAGCAGAACACCGATGTTTGATTAATCAAAATAATCGATCAACTTGCTTATCGCATTTTTATGTAATTACTGTTGATAACCTATGTTCGCTTCAATAATTATATTCTGAAATCAAATGAGTAATGGAATTTTAGAAATTGTTTCTCTCCTCTTTATCCTGTTAAAATTCCTCTTCTAGATCACTGTCAGAGTAATGCATAAAGAGAAGGGTTTGAATAATTAGCAGTGTCCACCGTCTCAGTTGGACAGTTTGCATCTGTTATCCATTTATCAACTTGACCATTCACTCACACCAAAATATGATGTCCTTAAGATGAGAGAAGAAACCAAAGGCAGCAAGTATCAGAACTCGGTATTCCCATTCCGCCTCCCTAAATAACCAAAAAAATCCTCAGAACTGCAAGGTAAACTGAGCTCTAGCACAATGAGAAAGTAAAGTGCCAACTTTGAATTAAAGTACATATCTGCTTTCCTCTGAAAACCACCCAAATCTAAAGCACAAGAACTTCTCCAAGCCGCAGTAAAAACGCAAAAAAGACACCTTTTCTCCCTCTCCGATACAAACAGTCCAATGATAAAAATTGCCAAAATCTGACAACAATCGAATGACCAATCGAGGAGAAAAATAACTTTCATCTTTGAGCACGATCACTTAGACTGCTTTACCCAGTACTTTACTAAAAGCCTACAAACCATTCAGTGCCAAACTTTCAGATGCTTTGAGGAAGTCGAAGCTATTTCTTCAAGCGACTCAAGCAAGCACCTCAACCAAACAAATCAAAACCTCCAGCTTAAGAAGAAAAAAAAGGAGTGAAGCTTGTACGCACAGAAAAGTTACCCACAGTTACAAGCTTCGATCCAATTCTTAAAGACCACACATAAACCAACATCTACTTCACCAGAAAACGCAGCAACTCCTCATCTTCAGCAAATAACTTACCAAAAATTAACAAACGACACTCCAAGCTGTTGTTCAACTGCAAAAACTCAAAAACAACTTCATTACTCAAGCTTTTTTAAACATCTGAATGGCATTTTAACCACCCCTCCAAATAACCGATATTTCAGAAATTCATTTATAATTAGACTGGAGGAAATATTTAAAAAGCCTTAAATTATACTCTGTCTTCATCTAGTACTCACTTTGATTTCAAACTGAAATCAGTGTGCTGGAAATAATTTAACACTATAGGCCTTAAAATATCAATATTACTGCGTCACTTTGAGGCCAAAACCATTTTTAATTAAAATTGCTGTTCAACTTTTAGCACTGAAGAAGAAGACAAACTGGTAACCTATTCAGAGGACAGTGAATTTTTAAAATCCTTCCACTTAATTCAACTGCTGTAAAAAGTACGGAGAAATATGTCACTGGAATAAAACTCCTGATGCAGCAAATAAACCAACAACAGGAGCGTTGTTGAAAATACTGTAGAAGCGTTAAAAAAATCCCAAAAAACAGAACCACTTGCTCTGCAGCTAAAATGTACATTCCAAAAAAATGAGTTTGCTAAATCTGGAACAGCAGAACGACCAATCTGACGGCGAATGTTCTAGAAATGAGCTGAAGCACTGACGACCACATAACTGACCTAAAAAAATTGCGCTTATTTTTTTAAAGAATCCAGTAACACAGATACAATTTGATATCACATTCCGGTAACATAGGAAACAGTAAGAACCAAATATAAAAAACAACTTATCACATCACGTAACAGCATCATAGCCAAAAAGCAGTATTTAAAACTTATGTAAATCAGATGCAAACTCAAATTTTTTTAGTTTATGAATAATCGTTTCTGTACTGCGATCACCAATGATGCATCAAATGAATTTGGTCACAAAAAATGTACTATCACAGAAATTTGGCTTCAAACTGGTCTTACCAAACGAAAAAAAAAAAGAAAAGCAAAAAAAAACGTATAAAATTTCGGATGTTCTCTTCTTCTGCCCCTCTTCAGTTTTATCTGATATATCAATCACAGTCCCTTCTATAATCTCATTTTCATCCGCGACATATACACAGCACATAAACTTTTCTGTCAATACATGCCAAATTTTTTTCATACAAAATCAGCGTTTTTCTCGGAACTACAGCGTAACACGACTGCTGGGGAAAAACAATGGAAAGGAAAAAAACCTATACAAGTTTGCAAATATATATATATATATTTATTTATTTATAACGAGATTTTTCTTCATAACCTCCGAAACAAGTACTTTCATAGCATATGTTCTTTTTTTACGCTTCTGAAACAAGTGTGTGACTGTAGTTTCGTTTTTTTCTTTTAGCTCTACGTCAGCCATTAATAAATCAATATTTTTTGCTACGAAACACTCCCTCAAAAAGCACTTTTTTCCCTTAAATATAAAAAATTAAAAACTAAATGAAATAAATTTAACCGTCATTGCTGAAAAATTTGATGCCAATCTTAAGAATTAGCATTACGACAGATATATATATGTATACACAAATATTTTTTATATGTATATGAAGTAAAGAAAACCACTAGCCAAAGACCACCTACAAAAGCTCCTATACCAGTTAATGTTAACAGAAATGGTGTTGGAGTAAAAACAGATAAGGGAAGGAAATTAATGGGTCACAAGTTGTGTATTCGATAAGCTTAGAAATAGTTTACTCGTTGCCGATTCCGCTTGTCCTCCACTCCATTGGCTCCGCGATGCGCGTATAAGAATTCGTACTAAAATATTTTTCGCATCATTTTTTTTTCTTCTCTGTGACACTATATTTTTCAAATAGCATAATTCGTTATAACTTCGCATTGATCATTTGCAGCGCAATAATAATTTCTTTTTTTTTTTTTT